ATTGATTGCTCACAGGCACTTCAATAAAGTTTGGACTGCCCTTTTGTCTTGCATTTTAAATGGTATCTGTGTAAAAAAAATGTGGTTGTATATATCTGTGATCTCTGTCACTTCTTGATGCTGACTCCCAATAAATGTGACCTAAACCATCATATCATTAACCTTTTGTTTACTGGAAAGAGAAGCTAATTTCCTCAATTGTGTTGCCAATAGGAGAATCCATTATCACAGAGTGGGAGGGTTCACTCCAAGTTGTGGGTTCATGAAGAGTTTGGGTTAATGCTTAAAGAAAGACCAAGAGAATTATAGAATCACAGAGTTTGAAGAGACTTCACGGGCCATCTAATCCAACCACCTGCCATTCAGGAAAAGTAGAATCAAAGTGTCCCTGACAGATGGTCATCTAACCTATGTTTAAAACCCTCCAAAGAAGGAGATTCCACCACACTCTGAGGCAGAGAGCTCCACTGCTGAATGGTCAAGAAGTTCTTCCTATGATTTGAACCCATTACTCCGAGTCCTAGTTTCCAGGGCAGCAGAAAACAAGGCTGGTCCCTCTTCCTTATGACATCCTTTCAAATATTTAAATAAGGTTATCACATCTCCTCTCAACCTTTGCTTCTGCAGACTAAACATACCCAGCTCTTTAAGCTGTTCCTCATAGGGCATGATCTCCAGATCTTTGATCATTTTAGTTGCTTTCCTTTTGACACCTTCCAGCTTGTTAATATCTCTCTTAAATTACTGGGCACAGTATTCCAAGTGAGGTCTGATCAAAGTAGAGAAGCACTATGATTTCCTTTGATCTAGACCAGTGCTTCTCAACCTGTGGGTCCCCAGATGTTTGGGCCTTCATCTCCCAAAAATCCTAACAGCTGATAAACTGGCTAGGATTTCTGGGAGATGTAGGCCAAAACACCTGGGGACCCACAGGTTGAGAACCACTGATCTAGATACTATACCTCTTTTGATGCAGCACAAAATACCATTGGATTTTTAGCACAAAGACAGCAAAACATGACTAACAGGCACGAACAAATGGTGGGCTTAATTACTCTTACAGAAGAACTCAAACACAACTTGTGAGAGAGGCATTCCTTAAGGATGTATTTTTTATTAATAAACTAACCGAACCTTCTGTGTTAGAAAAAATGGAAGACCCAGATATATAGTTGACACTTGAAAGTCAATAAAGAAAAGGAAAGTATGTGTATGCTAGAGGATTGTATAAATGGTTAGGCATTGATTTTGTTTCCTTGTTTTGCTCTCACAATGCCTCAGCCATATTTGAGTCACAAACATTATATAATGATTGTATGATTTACTGTAAACAAATCAAAGCAATTGAATGAATGGAATGAATGCGTGCATAAACAAATTATTTTGAACATATAAAGCTGCCATGATTAATCAGATCTCTGGTCCCTCTCATCTCCATTTACAAGAGCTTGGCAAAGATAGTTTCTTAAAGTGCATCTCCCAGAATCTTCCATAACAACTCAGAGAGTCAAAAAACAAACAAAGCAAACATTTATCTGCTCTGCCAATCATCCTAGTAGAAGCTCCCCAAAACCCCAGACAGAAGTCTTATGCAGCTCTGCTACTGAAATTCTTTTTGAACTGTAACATGCAAAACACATACTCTAAAATTGATAAAGCTGTACCCTTTGATCTCAGCCATTTTCTAGAATCAGAATTAAGCCTAAAGTAATGGTTTCTTGGGAAGAAAGCATAGTTTCTATAAGAATCATTATAATATAACCATACTTTGCATAGAAAACACCTGACTTTTACAAGCATATATGGCAAATACTGACAAGGCTGCAGGAAATTTGCCATATTGACTTTCCCTGCTAAGACTAGAATCCTTTACACATTTTCATTTGAATAAGTTCTGTTGGAATTGCTGGGTATTTCTTCCCTGTAACTTATATAGAATTGGCTGTAAAACTCCTTGCAGAGTGTTCACAGTTACATTTGAAACTGCTGCTATTTTATCTCAGACTTCCTAACAGGTCAGCTTTGAATCTCCCCTAGAATAAAAATGTGCTACATTCGGAACAGTTTTCTCAACACCTTCCCAACAGTTTATACCTCAAACAGTCATCTGATGAGTTTCAAAGCCTACAGGATTTTCTGTAGTGATGTTCACAGCAGACTAGGCTTTATATCCTATCTATCACCTGAGGCTTCTGCAGCTTACAACTGCATACTGAACAGCTGCTTTTGTCTTAAGTTTAATAAATTGGGATATTTAGCCCAACACAGACTTAAGCAATTCACAATATTTAATAGCATTACCTATAAGTCAACTAGATTTTGTTCAATTTTGTATTGGATAAGACATCAGTAGTATCCCATTTTCATAGCATTCACATAAAAACAAGCTATAAAGGAGGTGTAGATATGCTATTTTTATTTCCTTTCTTATGAACCCACGGTGCAAATTTACTGTAAAAATTCTGTTTCTTTGGAGCAGTGTTTCCCAACCTGCTGTCTGTGGACCACCAGTGGTCTGTGACCTCACCATTACTACACCGTTGCAACGAAAGTGACTAGTCTCGCGAAACCCTCTTATAATGCTGAGGATTATTATATATGGTTTTCTGTGGGTGAGCAGATAGCGACTGCTGGATGGCATATGTTCTGTATCAGAAACTAGAGCTGATGTGGTCTTTCTAATGCAATTTTCTGAATCAGCGCCCAAATAATCAAATGAATCTAAAGTTGACCAAAAACTGATTCGTGACCCTTTTGGTACTAATGTTGGAGAGTGGTCCCTGGTGAAAGTGGTTCCTGGTGAGAGTCATCCCTGATCAAGTGGTCTCAAGTCAAAAAAGGTTGGGAACCACTGCTCTGGAGGGAAAGGATGGGCAGCAGCTCTATTGGGGGATCTCACTGGTGGCAGAGAGAGAATTTCTCCAGTAGGAAAGATTTGGAGGTGTGTGTATCCAGACAACTAATAGCTTTAAATATAAGATCCAGCATCTTGTTTAAAAAGGAGGATTTCATGCACACGGATCTATGATGTCTCTTAGAAAGGAATTCCTATGCACTGCTTCATCTCTTCAACATGCCTAGGAACAGAGAGATGGAGAAAAAGCCACCCCTATGTTTATTGCAAGAAGTTGAATAGAAGTGGATAAGGAACAGCTCTGCCCTTTCTGCTTCTTGGGGTCATGTGCATCTTTAATCTTCTACAATCTCAGCAATCTGAAAGGAGGAAAGATTAAAAGCAGGGGCGAGCAATTGCCTTTCTAATAATTTTTGCCCTCACCGGTGCATAGAGCATTCTGGAAGTGACATTCCCCTCCAGAATAGGCTGGAAGTTCATGGAGACCAACGCTAAAATATATTGATACAAGTGGTTTTGCTGCATTTTGAATAGTGGAAATGGCAATATTTCTCCTCGATTGGTGACTGCTATCATGATCCCTCTTTAATATTCCCAGATGTGCATATCAGCATCAGGGTCCAGAGATGCTGAGAAGAAGGATAAGATCACCTGAAGATGTCTGACACTTTCTCCCAGCTGGGTAATAAAAATGGTTTCAGAATTTAAGAAGAGGCTGGTATTCGTTATAGGATCCCTTTCCCTATAAAGCCCTTAGGTCTCTAATTATTACACTATATAACAAAATTTGGGAAAAAAATCTGTACCTGGTTTGAAAGTGTTATTCCTGCTTAACTGTGTGGTACTTATTTTGAAAGTAGTTGTTAAACTCCAGAAACTTCATTTTTGTGGCTGCCACAAACTATGTTGAATTGCTTGAGACTCGGTGAAATATTCATTGAAAAACTATAGCAAAATGTGCTGCAGGATTGTCCCACAAAAACAAGTTTTTTGCAGTTTAATAAACCTTTTCTATGTATTTATGATATAACCAATTAGGAAATGAAATTTATAACCCAGGAACATAGTGTTAGGGGTCTGATGCTAGGTTATGATCATGCACACCAGACAAAACTATTCACTGAAGGCATCAATACTGAACATTGCATAAGTGTATAGAGATCCCAGCACTCAAGCAATAGGATTGTCATAATTTCAGATGTGAAAGAAGGAACACAATAATCTATTACTATCTATTAGTGCTAGATCTTGTGCAGTGAAAATAACAACAATAACAACACTGTATTTATATCCCACCCCCTCTCTCTGTAGGGACTTGGGGCAGCTCACAATAGAAAAAATACAGTATACATAATAATACTCAACCAACCAAGACAAACAACATTCATCAACTGACAAATCACCCAAATACACATATATTATTCACTTGCTTTATTATTCCATCTTTCTCTCAAAACCAGGATTCAAGGCAACACAATAAAGATATAACTATAAAAGAAAGAGATAAAATCACAAACAAATTGCAATATTGAAATTCAATCAAATTAGAAGATTATAATTCATCAGAATTAAAAGCAGTTGAATATCAATCATAAGGTAAATACAACACCCCTTCGTCTGTAGCAATGAATTGCTAAATATCTGTCTTAATAAAACAGGTCTTGCATTTCAGGCTGTCAGGGCAGTGAACATCCATTCAAGATACCTCTCTTTGTATTTGCTACCAGCCTTCGTTATTTTGTGGTCAAGAAAGCCCCTTCTTCAATCACCAAGTTGTACATTTCATATGGCATAAAAGCAGTTTGGAAGTAAGTGATTCAGGTCAGCCAAGCTAGCCTGGCATCATCCATGTATCTTCAAACCACAACCCCTATGGTCCTGATCCATGAGATATGCTGCCTGGGATTTATGGGAGCTGAAGCCCAACACATCTGAATGCCTACTGAAGTTAAAGTGTGGGTGGTTCTTTTGCAAGCTGAAGCCAAGAACACACTAACTGGGAAATGCTTTCAGAAATTATGCAGCCCTGTTCAACACTCAACAAACTAAGTCCAACAGTGTCATGCATGGAAGCGTTAATTGAAGATGAAGAGCAAAGGAGCAGATGGATGCCTCCTAGTTTGCTCATTCAAAAGAAATCACTCACCGGATTGTGTGCTGTTTCTGCAGAGTGACTAATGCTCCACCAATCTGATGTCCATTCCCAAGCATTTCCTACAATGTTGTACAAGCCGTAACTATTTGGAGGGAATGCTGTTACCTAAGGGCAGGGAAAGGTATAAAGGACAGGGTTAGTGCCCATGGATCAAACTGATTAGAACTCAACATATTGATTAAAAGGGTTGCCCAATAACACTATGTAATACAACTTGAACAGTTTTCTACTCCTGGTTTGAAAATGTTATTCCTGTTTAATTGTGTGGTACTTATTTAAAAGTAGTTGTTATTCTCCAGAAACTTCATTTTTGTGGCTGCCACAAATTATGTTGAATTGGTTGAGACTTGACGATATTCATTGACAAACTATAGCAAAATGTGCTGCAGGAAGTCCCGCAAAAACAAAGTTTTTGCAGTTTAATAAACTTTTTTCTTGTTTTTAAGATAGAATCAATAGGAAATGACATTTATAACACAGGAACAAAAATCGTGTTGCATAGTGTAATCAGTGAAATATTACATTTTTCATTTTGTATTCCATTCTTATATTTCCCTTTCTGGTGCAAATAAGAAAGTATGTTCAGAACTGTTTTTTTAAAAAGTAGACTGCCTTTTTAATTAAAACACATATTTGTGTTATATGTTCAAACTATATTTTGTAAGCTATATTGAGTCCCGTACTGGGAGAAAACAAATAAACAGAAATAAAGTTACAAACCCGTTATCCTTTAACTCATTCGATTCTCATCTCCCCCATGTTGGAACGTATGGTACCTTTTATAAAATTTGTGAGCTCCTCTTAGCAGTAAGCTATACTCATCGGGCATTTCACCAGCTTTTAACATATAGCATTATTATTTTACATAACTTCTAGATCTATATAGATTAGCCAATAGTTCAGAAAGTTAGTTCCATGTAGTCCTACTTCAAAGATCCCTGTCTTTTGGCAATACACAATGCCACTGAAAAAAATTATATATCTATATCAGATTGTCATGGCCAAAAGAGTTCAAATAACACTTCAATTAAAAGTGAATTAGTCAAACAATATAAAAAAACATATCACAATAAAATATAAAAAAGCAAATGTGACAAAAATATGTCCATTACAAAAATTATAAACCAAATGCCTGCCTGAATAAAGAGATCCTAGCCTGCTAGTGAAAATAAAGGAGGGGGGGGGGCAACCGAACCTCTTATGAGAGGAAGTTCCACTATCTGGGAGCAGATTAACAATCCTGTGAAGTAGATCAGATAGGAGGAGGATTTAGCCCAAGAACACAAAGGGAACTTAACTTAGTGGGAATCAGTATTTTTGTTTCCTAAGGTCTACCCAGGTTCTTAATCCTCATATTTGTAGTTCTACAATTCTAAACAATCTCAAAGGGCTAGCGATTCCTTAAATATTGTCCCTTCTCTCTTGCAGACCTTTCCCACCATAACTAGGGGACCTATACATTAGGTCATTTTCTGGAAGGAAAGCTGAAGGAAGTAACCCATCCACTTAAAGCAGCACAAATACAGGATAACTATTCAAATGAAGACTTATGTTTAGGCATTGAATCTACACTGTAGGAGCTAAACAACTTCTGTTACAAAGACCTTGATATTTTTCCTGTTAAGAGATCATATCAATACATCCTCATAATTGAGTGAAACAAATTATTCTCATTACATCTACAGGTATGATTGTTGATGCTGAGTTGTAAATTGCCTTCGTTCCGACCCTGACATTTGTAATAGAGGAGGGATTTGTTGCAAGAGAATACAATTCCATCCTGCAGAGAGTGGGCAGAGAGTAGGATGCTTCTCATAAAATGTCATTTACAAATTCATAGCAATTGTGCTCTAATCAATTCATGAAACTAGTTATTTGTATCTGGCATAAGTGCATAATGCTTCCATATTTTCCATTACAGAAAAAAAGATCCTGAAAAAAATCCTATCCAAACTTCCTCCTTCTTCCGATTTATGTCTCTTATTGGATTCATTATTGGCACTTGGATTTTTCTCTGTAGCTGCTCCCATCAGACAGGTAAATAAAGTGGTGACATGCTTTGAATGTTGGACTAGGACTATGCAAAACCAGGGTTCAAATCCCAGTTTAACCACAGAAACACCATGGGTGATTTTAGACAAGTCACACTCCCTCAACCTCAGAGGAAGGCATTGGCCAACACCCCACTTTGATGAGAAACCCACCATGAAGGAACAGAACAACAAGAATTATACATGTGCAAATGAAACAGAAAGAATATCTACACTGCAGGGATATAGTAGACTTACAACATTTTCATTACCTTGACATCATCCTATAATATCCTGGGATTTACAGTCTGCTGAGATACTTACAACTCCTTGCTAGAGAGCTCCAGTGCTGTAGGTCTAGAGAATGAAGTTGAGCTCTCTATGTGGGGCTGCCTTTGAAGATAGCCCAGAAACAGCAACTTGTGCAAAGATTGGCAGTAAGGCTTCCAACTGGAGCTAATTATAAAGAACGTACAACACCTCTATTGAAGCAGCTCCACTGGCGGCCAATCAGCTTCAGGTCCCAATTCAAAGTGCAAGTTATCACCTACAAAGCCCTAAACGGTTCGGGCCCTGCCTATCTTCATGACCACATCTCCCCCTATGAACCGGCGCAGGCTCTAAGATCCACTGGGGAGGCCCTTCTCTCGCTCCCACCACCGTCACAAGCACGACTGGTGGGAACAAGGGAGAGGGCCTTTTCGGTGGTGGACCCTCGATTTTGGAACTCCCTCCCCAGGGGGATTAGGCAAGCACTCACACTGTCCACTTTTCCCAGGGAGCTGAAAACTTGGATGTTTCAGCAAGCATTTGAGAATGATTAGCCCCATTTATAAATGCCCAGTCCCTAGTTTGCCAGATAGGACTCTGCTCTCTTTCCCCCACCCAATTCCATGGCCCTATAGTTTTCTGTTTGCACTTTCCCATGCCCAGCCCTTTTGATAGCTGGGTCATGCTCATTTTAGTAGCCCTGGTTCCTGGATCTGGATTTGAGTACTGACTGGATGGAGTTTCAATGCTAATTGTTTTATACTTTTATGTCTACTTACTTTATTTTTAAACGGGCAAATGCTCCATTATTAACACATTTTAACTGTGTTTTTGTTTGGTGAATTGGTTGTTTATTGTCTTATAGACATTTGATCCCATGTAAGCCACCCTAAGTTCCTTTGGGGAGATGGTGGCGGGATATAAAAATAAAGTTGTTGTTATCATTACCATTATCATTAAAACTCCTCTAAGTAAATCCTGTCACAAAAACCACCTGATGGGACTTTCATAACAATATGAAAATAGGTTGCAATGAACTTTAAGGTATATAACTACAACAAAAAAGGGGAAGGAGGGATCAGAGGTAAAGATCTGTGACTCAATTCAAACATTCCAGCTAGACAGAACTCTCCCTCTTAATCCTCGCAGTCACCGTGCTTTGGGAAGAAGGAACAGTTTATCCACTGGTACCAACTGAGCAGAGGACAAAAACCAAGCCTTAATTATTTCCTCACCCTATTTTTTTAAAAAAACAACACTTCAACTCTATACAATTTCATGGCATTTCTTAGCTAAAGGCTTCTTCTTTACATGATGCACCAAGTTTTTCATAGAGATCACCTAGAAATCCGTTATGAGAGAAAGGATAAATCTCTCTTGCCATAAAGCACCTGCACCTATCTGTTTGATTATGTGCAGGCTTCAACCCCTGAGAAGGATGCTATAATTGTAAGATATAGATCTTTCTTTCAAAAAAAACGAACACACTCCAAACACAAAGGCACATATCATGGAAACCTTGCATTTACATGTCTAGGGAGCTAAGAAAGTGCTTTGATGCCTGCAAATTTCTTCTAATTCTGAAAAAAGCTTTTAAAAGTGATACCCACTGCTAACTTACAGGTGCTGTTCCCGTGTAGCCATCCTCCCTCGTGTTGCTTGTAGGGAAATCTCCTTGCCAGATGTTGGCATAATGCTGGCCATTCGGATGAAGCTTGTTCCCCCAGGGGAAGAGTCTGTTGAAAGAAGCACAAGCAAATGTTATTCAGGGCAACAGTGAGATGCTTTTGAAGAGATGCAAAGTGAAGAAGTGCAAGTGACTACCATTGTCAAACCTTTCTTTTTATCATTTACTGAGCAGGAAGTACTCGTTCTTGAATATAAACAGATTTCTTTTAATTAAAAAGGA